CAGGGCATGGAAAGTGTTTACAAAACCCCTCCCCCCCCCCCACCCCCGCCAAAAAAAGCCACATGCTTCATCTCCTAGGCTAAAATGGTGCCATGATGACCCAATGCAATGAATTCAGACTTCTCTTGGAATTTCAATTGGGTACATTTTGAACCATAATAGGGCTCCTGCCATGGTGCTAAAATCCCCTTTTACATGACTGCAGAGGGTACAGCTATCTTATTTGTCTTTGCATTTGCTTATGTTAAAAGATGTATTGTCCAGAATAAATCTACACACACACACACACACACACACACAGAGGCCTGGCAAGATCCCTGATCAGTCTTGGGCACAGAAACAGTTTAACTGTATTTTGGTCATTATGACTATTTAATAGAACCTCTTTATTTTTATTTTTTAATTTATTTAATTCAATAAAACCTCTTTCAGTCTTCACTCAAGAGGAGAACAAAGTTTATCTTCTTTTTAGTTCAGGGCTGCAATTCTATACACTCTTATTTAGGAGTAGCCCTCGTTGAGTAGACATATATGGTTGTTTTCTATTATTGTATTTCCTTAATTAGCCCAGTGGCCTGATAATTGCTACTAGATTGTTCCTAGATTTCTCAGGGATTAAAACATATAGAAACCCTGTATCTTTTTCTGGTTCCCAGCAAGCTTGGAGCCAAACTCTGTTTATATTTTGCAAGTTTCCTTAGCGCACGCACGCATGCGTGCGCTCTCTCTCTCTCTCTCTCTCTCTCTCTCTCAAATCAGTTGTCACTGTTTTAGCAGTGTGTTGCCAAAGTTCATAACAGAATCTAGGATTTGCAGTTATTTTTGAGAACAACCACCACCATGCAGTTATAAACATAAAATATAGCTATGAATTTTGAGTTCTAAGAAAACCGAGTTCTGTATAGAAGAGAGGCAAGAGATGATAAATTAAAGAAGCAGATATTTCCTACAGCTCGCCTTAGATACATATTAAAAAGATCTGATAGGGAAAGATTTCCTTTAGTCATCTTCTGTAGAGGATGTACACAACTCTCATTCTCCCACAAATATTTTCTTTATCTTGCAATGTCTTTCATATATTCAGAATACTGCTATTTTTCATGCCTCATTAATTAGCTACCATAACATTCAGAGTTACTACTCTGAGTTGCAAAGTTTCATCCAGTCATGGCGTGTTACATCTTTCCTTCCACTTTGTTCTGTTAGTTCAGCCTCTACTGTATATTCCTCCGTAGGGTAACCTTCCCCCCCCCGCCCCATTTAGAAATATGCTGCACATGGAATAGTACAGAAAAAAATAGGAATCAGGGAGTTAATGATTGAGCAAAATAATTCTATTCTCAAGGCTCAAGGAAGTGAAAGCAGGTCAGTCCACTCCAAATTAGGCACCAGATAAGGACCATCATAGATATGAATTAACTGTGTAGGGGATCAAAACAAAGTATCTCTTCAAATCAGTGGGATTATTGAAGTTTGCTGTAATAATTGTTTTGCCAGTTGCTAATCTATTTTCCCCAGCAAGCCACTGAGAAGAACTAAAAGGCTTGTAGCTGTTACAAAAAGTGGCACGATGAAGCCAAAGCTGATTGCTCTGAAATAGAGGTTTGCCTGTGCCAGCATCCTTTTTTTGGTGCCAGGAATGACATTGTATTCTCCCAAGCTTCTATTATTTTTCTTTTTAAAAACGACACTATATTTTATATTTATTTTGTTTGTGTGTTTTTTTCTTTTTCCCACTCTCTGAAAGGGAAACAAATAATCCACTGGGTTCAATAGGAATTAATTATATTTTCAAGTCTCTTACAGAAAGCAATTCAACCTTCTCCACTTTAATCAATGGGAGAAATGCACTTATACTGCACTGGATCATTTCCAAAACATTATTAGTTTCACATTACTCAAAATGTGAAAGAAACCCTGCTGAAATAAAATATTTGATGGCCGTTGGATCTGGTTTTGTTGAAAATGCCTCAACCAGATGTCCCCTACATTGAACCCCCACTGATAAGTTGCCCAATGGCTATCCCAGTTGGCAGTTCTGGGATGGAAAAGACGGAGGAAAAAGAGAACCAGGCTGGTACAGAGTTGACCTAGTCCAAAATCAGCAAGTGTGATGGAATGGAATTATGAAGGCCAGGCTCAGGGATATAAACATTTTCTTAGCTCGCCAGAGGGGC